GTGATTATGTTACAGGTTTTGAGAGCAGAGATTATCAAGATCGTGCAGATATCGTCTAAGCATTGTCACAAATGTCTTCTAAGAGATAAACTGGACAACAATAGAAGGCTGTGTGACCACAGAGATGAGAGGTTAGCAACATATGACCACAGGACCAGGATCACTGTAACGCCAGCAGGCTGAGAAGCTGAAGGAGGCAGAAAACTGCTTCTCCAAAGTTTCCAGAACAAATATGATCCTGCCAACACCCTGGTTTCAGACTTAACAAATTCTAGAACTGTGAAACAATAAGCATAAATTGTTTTAGCTCACTGGAATTGTGGTGACTGGCTGCAGCATATTAAGAATTGAATACTCCTACCTTTTGGACCAGAAAAGGAGCAAATATTTAAAAGTAAGAGGTAGTAAAAAGCTTAAATGTCACAGGAGTCAAAGGAAGACTTTCAAAACAGAAGAGCAGAGGCAATGGTGTCAGATGTTAGGACTGAGATAACAGAACTATGATTAAGTGGAAGTCACAGGTAAAAGAAAGGTAGTGGGTGACAGCTATGGGAAACCGAGAACCTACTATGTGTCTAACACTGCCATAGCATTTTATAGACATTGAATCAATCTTATAGAAACCTTATATTCAACCCCATTTCCTGGTGGAGAAAATAAGCTTTAAACACAGACAAATGAAACAAAGCTTTCAAATCACATGTTCTAGGTAAATATGGCTATGACTTGAGCCCCAAAATCCTTCAACCCTAATGATGTAGTTTCTAGAAGTTGTGGCTTTGGGGCCTTTATCTAGGGAAATGATAACTCGCAGGTAGAAGAAATATTTTTGTAAATACAGTTTTGTATTGAAAGGAAGGAGAAAAAGTAGATTTACCTTGCCTGTACCTTATCTTCCAATCTGATAGGAAAGAGAAGCTGAGAGAGATAGTTGTAGGCCACAGGAGTGTAGGCCATAGGAGTATAGGCCATAGGAGTGTAGGCCACAGGAGTGTAAGCCACAGGAGTGTAAGCCACAGGAGTGTAGGCCACGGGAGTGTAGGCCACGGGAGTGTAAGCCACAGGAGTGTAAGCCACAGGAGTGTAGGCCACAGGAGTGTAGGCCATAGGAGTATAGGCCATAGGAGTGTAGGCCACGGGAGTGTAGGCCACGGGAGTGTAGGCCACAGGAGTGTAGGCCACGGGAGTGTAGGCCACAGGAGTGTAGGCCACGGGAGTGTAGGCCACGGGAGTGTAGGCCACAGAAGTGTAGGCCACGGGAGTGTAGGCCACGGGAGTATAGGCCACAGGAGTGTAGGCCACAGGAGTGTAAGCCACAGGAGTGTAAGCCACAGGACTGTAGGCCACAGGAGTATAGGCCACAGAAGTGTAGGCCACGGGAGTGTAGGCCACAGGAGTGTAGGCCACGGGAGTGTAGGCCACAGAAGTGTAGGCCACGGGAGTGTAAGCCATAGGAGTGTAGGCCACAGGAGTGTAAGCCACAGGACTGTAGGCCACAGGAGTGTAGGCCACAGGAGTGTAGGCCACGGGAGTGTAGGCCACGGGAGTGTAGGCCACGGGAGTGTAGGCCACGGGAGTGTAAGCCATAGGAGTGTAGGCCACAGGAGTGTAGGCCACGGGAGTGTAAGCCACAGGAGTGTAAGCCACAGGACTGTAGGCCACAGGAGTGTAGGCCACAGGAGTGTAGGCCACAGGAGTGTAGGCCACGGGAGTATAGGCCACGGGAGTGTAGGCCACGGGAGTGTAGGCCACGGGAGTGTAGGCCACAGGAGTGTAAGCCACAGGAGTGTAGGCCACGGGAGTGTAAGCCATAGGAGTGTAGGCCATAGGAGTGTGGTAAAGACTGTGTTGGTGTAAGGAAACAGAAGGTGCTAAAGTAGACATTGGTCATTTCACTGACTAACTTTTGGCTATGTGTCATCATGACCAAAAAGGGATTGCATCATGTAGATTGAAGCATAGGGAGGAGAAAGGCCTGGAAGAGGGAGCCGGCATCTCCCATCTGTTATATGGAGAATGTTTTGTTCAGAACTGAGGAAAGAAAGAAACAAGTGAGAAGCATGCTTCTTGCCAGTGGAGATATGATCTACTTGGAGGAATGAACCTCTGGTGGTCCAGAAGAGGAAGCAGGGTTTAATGATGTTGCATGACAAAGGGCCTGTTGAAATATTAAGGACTAGGATGCTAAGTGGAATGACCAGAGGAATTGGAAAGCTTCAAGAAGAAGAGACAGGAGCAGCTGGTTCTCACCATGGAGGTGCTTGAATGGTAGTCAAGAACCAGAGGGGGCATTTGAGCATGATGGTGGTATGAGTCAGGGGAAGAAAACTGGAAGAGGATTCTAGAAGACTGAGGTTCAAAAGAAGGTCAGAATGTTATGCTTTCTTGTCTCTACCAAAATAGACCTCAAGTTCTTAGTACCACTGCCAGCTTAAGACACTCCGTGTTTGTGTTGGTATTCAGTCTGTCCTTTTATATGGCAAAACTGAGAAAAACAATTTCTCTGTGTGACCTTGGACAAGTAACTTCTTGTTTTCTATCTGTAAAATATGGATCTGTGTGTGTGTATGTCTCTCTCTCTCTCTCTCTCTCTCTCTCTCTCTCTCTCTCTGTGTGTGTGTGTGTGTTGTGTTACATTTGTGGTGAAGCATTAATGGGATAAAAAATGTCTATAGCAAGGGTTCTCAACCTTCCTGATTCTGTTTCCCATTTAGTACAATTTCTCATGTTGTGGTGACCCCCAACGATAACATTATTTTGTTGCTACTTTATTACTTTAATTTTGCTACTGTTATGAGTCATATAAATATCTTATATGAGAATATCTGCTATGTGGCCCCTGTGAAAGGGTCATTTGGCCCCCAGAGATGTAGAGACCCATCTGATTTAGAAGAATGCTTGATATTTAATTGTTAGTGTTACCATTTTTCTAAAATAATGAAGAGCAAATTAGATGATGTAATTTATTAGGTGATGATTCATTTCTAAATGAATATGAGTTTGCTATCTTTTACACTTTTCAACATTTTCAAATATTTGCAGCATATTTGTTCTCCTTATATTAGATGTTTATTTATATCTCTGTCATGCCCATGGACTTGGCCCTTGTATAAGGAGAGATTTAATGTGCCAAGGCCTTGTTCACTATCTCTGAGGATTCCTCATTTGTAGAAGAATTGCGTTGGGTTTGTTTCAGTATTGGGGATTCTTCCAAAATTCCACTGTGACATATTTCTCTTCATCATAGCTATGTTCTGCGGAAACTACTCATAGATCATTTATTTTTAACATTCTCCCCATGATCTACATTATTACGTTTTTAAAGCACAAGATTCAACCGTTTCAAGTACTTAAGCCATTACATATCCACAATCTAATTTTTACTCTCATTTATGCCACTTTATGCTTCTTTGAGAGGTGTTATGCAACACTCAGGAGTGCCACGCTGAGCCACAATCCTGTTCCCTTCACCCAAACACTCACCCGAAAGAAGTATAAGTAGAGAGTGGTTTTTCTAATATTTTCAGCCTGAACCTCCAGATACTATATAGTGTTCACTAAAAGTCTCTACCCCATCCCTTTTCTGTCATCTACAAGTTTGTCTGGATTCAGCTGGGTCTAGGGAAACCCAGGCTGTACTCTGAAAATGTGGAACTTGGAATGATGTAATGGAGAGCAGTGGAGGAGAAGGATGATAGCGTGAGACTAGTGTGCCAGTTATGGCCACAGAGAGGAGAAGGATGATAGCGTGAGACTAGTGTACCAGTTATGGCCACAGAGAGGAGAAGGATGATAGCGTGAGACTAGTGTGCCAGTTATGGCCACAGAGAGAGCCATGTGGGAATAGAAGGCTCACACATGTCCATGTGCTTTGGCATCTCAGCCAGATATTGATTGACAGAGGAAGCCTACCTGACTGTCTCCCAGGGGGCCAGCTAGCTAATCCTAACTTGAGTGAAACTTCAAAGACCAATACTCAGACTCACAGTATCATGGGTTTGGAAATCAGATCTTGGGGACAAACTCATGCTAAGCAGTCCTACGGAGGTAAATGTGTAGAACCCCAGGACAGAAGTTTGTTAGCTCTCACTGAGATCCCTACCTACCATTAGATGGGAAAAATTGTGGTTGTCCTAATCATATAGTATAAGACAAGTCATAATCCATAGATTGTCCAGCAATCACTGCCAGGATGAGGTACTTAATGCTTTAAGAACACAAAATTGTGCCGGGCGGTGGTGGCGCACACCTTTAATCCTAGCACTCAGGAGGCAGAGGCAGGCAGATCTCCGTGAGTTCGAGGCCAGGCTGGACCGACAGGCTCCAAAACAATACAGAGAAACCCTGTCTCGTAAAAAAACAAACAAACAAACAAACAAACAAACAAACAAAAAAACAAAATTGTGCCGTTGGTCTGTCTGTTCTGTCATGAAGAACTTTCTTATTAACCATTTGTCTCCCTTGAAAGACAGGATAAATGTTGACCTCTTTCCACTTGAGAGTTTTCTGAATAATAACTTGATATTTTAGCCACCTCCAACAGTAACTAATGGGCGTTTTTAAAGACTAATTTTGGAACGGAGATTCTTGGTTTTGCATGCTGCTCAATTACCAGTTCTGGCCTCTCTGCAAGTTCCATGAAGAATGTTCTTTGATTGTCATTGATACTCCAGATATCCAGGAGCAGTTCCTAAACCCCAAAGATCCATGAAATATGAAAATATGCAAATTTGTTCCCAGGATTTCAGAAGGAATTTTGTTAAGTTTAATATATGACTATATAATTCTCATTTATAGGATTCTTTTCATGACAACTGAGGAGGTCCCCATTTGAATGAAGCACTCCCAGTAAATACTGTGAAAAATCACAGTTCTAATGTGACTCACAGTCCCTGGGAATAGTTGCTGGTTTTCTCTGCAGTTCATGCCAGGACATAAATTTGTGTTTTAGCCATTAGCAAACTGACCTCTTCAGTTAATGGTGCTATTTCTCATTGCAGGTTTAAGTTTATCTATTCATGGGGCTGAAAAGCGCTTGCAAATCCATCAACGGCGAAGTGTGGCAAGTCGCCCAGGGTCACATCGTCGCCTGCCTGTGGTCAGGCATTCCTCACTCCCACCAGGCAGAAGGTCAATAAAAATGGAGGCCAGCTCTTCTGGAACCACTAATGGAAAAAACAAAGTTTTCCATGCAGGTAATGAATGGGCAAGTTCAACAGGGACCCACTCCATCAGCAGAGTCATGCACCTACATCGTGCTGTTAGTGCCTGCCATGCCTCCAGTTGGCTCATGTTTGGAAAGGAAGTCTCATTTTTCCTCTTCTCTTTACTCCAATCAGTGGCAAATGTTACCAGGACCAACAGGTGGGGGGGGGCAGAAGAGGAGAGAGAAAGGTGACAGAGGATCTTAAGGAGACATGCCACCTATGGTGGTCAAATCCAAGTGTAAAGCAGAAAAACTGTTACTCAGCTCATTAAACCTTGGACAACTGAATAGAGTTAGACATTTTCCTGTAATCTGCTTAAGAGAACCCAGGGAGGCTTTGTTTTTAAATGTCCATTCTTTATGTGAGTGAGTTATCTGGATAGACTTGCTTGCATCACCCTGAATGAGACCTCATATTCAATTTCAAGGTTCTACAAAGCATTTGTGGCCTCCCAAATTTGTTAAGCCAATGCGACATCAAAACCTGTGATTTCAACTAAAAGGTTTTGTGTGCTTGTTTGGAAGGAGGCTCATTCAGGTATTCATTCATGCGTTAATTCAACAGGTATGTGATGAGTTCCTGCTGTGTGCTAGACATTGTTCAGGAAATACCACTGAACAAGACAATGTTCCAGTCAGTTAGAAGGTAATTCAGAAGTCATTTAGAATAGGTTTCACCAAATTCCAACTCTTCTCCGTACTGTCCTATGGATGGTGGCCAGCCACCATGGAAGCCAAACCTGCAGCTGTTGCCAAGTCACACCCTTCTCTCCCTCTGAACCGGTGGCTTTGTTTCCTAACCTCTCTGAGAAACCCCAGGCTACTGAGCATGAATGCCTAGGAGCCCCTTATCTTCCACCTTTCTTGTCCTGTTTTCCAAGGACAAGTCTTCCCACTGTCTCTGACAAGCCTGTGCCTGTGTCCTTTAGCCTTGGCCCCCTCTCCTCTCTGGTGAAGCAATCAGAAGAGTGCATTTCATCCCTCACCCTGCTGGCTGCTCTGCTGAGTGTAGGTCGCGGCTCATCCTCTGTCACTTCTCAACATCTCCACTCGACACTGTATCCTTTATGGCTCTTTGGCATCTTTCCTTCTCCTAAGCCTTTGCTGCTCTGCTTTCACAATTCCCAGCCACTCTTCGGCTAATCCAACCCAGTTCTAGCCCCTCCCGCCTTCCTTTATCACAGTGTGGTAGATGCCCGGTCCACTCTTCTGATGCACTGGACTGCACTGGGCCATACACATTCCCCAGACACAAATCCCTAGTCTTCCACGGTAGCCCAAGCCCTCTCAGTTTTCTCACATGGAGCTTTCCTGGCTTCTCATCTGTAGTAGCTTTCCCTTCCTCTTGCCTGCTATTCCAGTGTGTCTGTAGTGTAAGTCCGGAAAGAACACCTTGATTTCTGATCATGGGGTTCACCTTTCAGGACCTTCTCCTGAGAATGATGACAGTGACTGCAAGAGTGACAGAGTTAATTGTTTCTGTTTCAGGGAGACATTTTACATACCTGTCATGCTGACCACGCCTGCTTGGGCGTGGTCACAGGTACATAGAAGATGCAGGGGATAATGAGCTAAGAGGAAGGGGACTTGCTGTCTTTTGGGCTTCCGGTCAGGTCTCGGAATGCAGCTGAGACTGACCTGGGTTGCCGGTTTCTCTTGTATATACCTTCCCCAATAAATAGTCATCTATATCCTCATCAGGTGCCCGATTTTTATTTCCTTACCATGCTGTGCTTTCAAGTGACTCAAAAGACTTTTCCAATGGAGTGGGTGTGCAATAAGAGATGGCCTAGAATTAATGAAAACTCTTAAGGTCTTGGCTAGAGAAAATAGGCATAGTATCACTGAAGTGGGGAAGGTTTCAGACTTCCTCTGCTTGAGGAGAAAAGTGGAATGGTGTTGAGGTTTTAATTATAGAAGAGACAGCATGAAAACTAGTGACATCTTTTGGATGGTAAGAGAAATATCTCTGAAGTTTGATCTGGGAGTGAGATTTTAAAATTGATATTTGTTAGTATAAATGCTGAATTTAAAGACATCAGGTAGAAAGAGATGACCCAGAAAGAAATACAATTGGCCATCCAAATCATTGAGCTTCACATTCTTGGTTTCTTTTTTCTCTTTTATTAAATATATTTTGATCATATTTTCCCCTCCCCCAAGTCTTTCCAGATACTCTCCCCTCTCTACCCATCCAACTTTAAGTTCTTTCTCTAAAAACAAAAACCCAACACAAAATCTACCCCAAGCCAAGAAAACAAAATAAAATCACACACAAAAAGAATAAAAGAAAACACCAAAATGTAACCAAATAAACACACACACACACACACACACACACACACACACACACACACACACGAGGCCTGCCCTGGAATGGCTAATATACCCATTGTCACTCCTTTGGAGAAAACCAATTTTCCCTCTCCCAGCAGCTATAAACGACAGTTCAGTTGATAACCTTTATCGTAGTGACTAGGTTTTCATTGATTCAATCACTTAAAAAATATAGCAACAAAAAGGGATAAAACAAAAACTACTACATCAAAGTTGGATCAGATAAACCAACAGAAAGGAAAGTGCCCAAGAAAAGGGCAAGAAAACCAGAGCGCCACTCACTTACTCAGGAATCGCATTAAAAACACTGAAGTAGAAGTCATGATGAAGATGCAGATCCTGGTACTACCCCTTGCAGGCGCTGTGCACGTGCTCCAGGGTCTGTGAGTTCCCTGGGGCTTTTCTCGTGTTGATGTAGAGGACCTCATTCCCCATCTCCTCAGCCCCTTCCACTCTTTCTGCCTCCTCTTCCATTGGGGTTCCCTGAGCTACGGGGTGGCATCTGCTGCAGGAGGAAGATTCTCTGTTGATTCCTGAACCAGGTACTGCAAGTAGAGCAGACTATCATTAGTAGCCTTTATATCACTATACTCTTTTTTTCTTCTTTAGAACTGTATTATTTGGTTTTACCCTGAGTCCCTGGGCTATCTAGTCTCAGGTTCTTGGTCAAGTGAGCATTGTTGAGTATGGATTCCATCTTGTGGAGTGGGCCTCATGTCAAATCAGGTATCAGTTGGTCACTCCCAAAAGCTTTGTGTCCATTGCCTTAGCATATCTTGCTGGTAGCAGTACATCATGTGGATAAAGGGTTTGTGGCAGGTTTGATGTTTACATTTCTCTCTTGATGTCATACAGAGTATTTTCCTGTACCAAGAACACTGACTGGAATATAAGGGTGAAGTCTCTGTGTAGGCACTAGCTTGGTGACTTCATGCTCAGTGAGTTGTGTAGTAGTTGTCTTCAGAAATAGAGACCTGTTGTCAGTTTGTGGGGAACAATCGATTGTCTTGGCGACAGCCTGGGTTATTTGGGGATTCTCATGGATCCCCTTTGGCCAACAACTCAAGTAGATGTAACCAAATTCTGGTACTGGAAGCTTTGTTTGATGACAAGAAATGTCCAGTCTGGGTTTGGTCTCCTCCATGATTTGGTGATTTCATTTAGATAACATATATATATGTGTGTGTGTGTGCGTGTGTGTGTATGTGTGTGTGTGTGTGTGTGTGTGTGTGTGTTTTAGGAAGCTTCTATTGTTTTAAGCTTCCATACTACCCTCAAATACCCCTTAATTTTAGTTGTCTCTCCCTGAAATCTTTCCATTTTCCTCCTTCCCTCACCCCCTCCACACTTCATCCTCCCTTTCAATAGTCTTGGTTCTAACAAAATATAGGTCAAAACTGTTATATGGGGGAACCTGTCCTTATCATGTGCATTTTATTCTTGTCATCATTCTCTAAACAATATAGCATAACAACTATAATGTTCACATTGTATTAAAATAATATAAAATTATTTAAAGTATACAGGGCAATGGACAATGCATTAGTTATGTCTAAATACTCCACCCTTTTATATAACTATATTGGTTATAGCTCTTGGAACCAATCTGCTGTAGATAGTGAGAGGTGATGTAGGTGAAAAGGGGTAGGAGTTCAGGGGCTAAGAACTAAGAGCTGTAAATCATCAGTTAGGGTCATGAACCACTAATGAAGTCCAGGAGAGAATGGATGACAGTACTGGAGGAAAACAATTTGAAATTAATTATCAAGAAGACAAGAGTGATAATCTAGGTGAAATGTTGAAAGTCAAGCAATATGAAGACTGAGAATTGGCCATGATTTTAGTAGATGTCTATGAGGAGTTTGATCAGAGCAGTTTAGTGAAGCAGTGTTGATGAAACCCTTTCCAAAGTGGATTTAAAAGAGAATGAAAGGATACAAATTAACCCCTATGAAAATAGACAACTTTTGAGACATTTTAGAATGAAAGAAACTAAAGAACCAGAGAAACAATTGGAGAAATGAGGCAAGAGAGTTTCTTTCCCAAATCCGACATCTAGAGCAACTCCTCAAAAGAAGGAGGAATTTTTAGTGTTAGAGATGAGGGCTCTGTAAAGTAGGGTCAAGGGTAGTATCTTTGATGACATCAAGTGGGAAGGGGAGTATTTGGATTTTAGCTGGTGTGGTGAAGTTCCTTTCCCACTGTGTCAGTTTTATCTTTGCTGTACAGAACAACATCATAACTGGGAATGGCAATGGAGCTGAGGAATAGGAAAGGTAATGGTCCAAATTGGGAGCAGAGTTGCTTGACACCCACAGTACTTGGCAGTGAGATTCATAGTCATGAAGTGAGGGACTACCTATCATTACTCTTTAACCTTATTTAATTATGTGAGTATGTAGATAGAGTCAGATGAGAGTCCTTTGACCAGGATTATGATGTTCCTAAGGCAGTAGGAAAAGAGACTAAAGACATTGATTGATGAGACATGAAAGGCAATAGTGAGTACAATGATCTAAATTTGGTAATGGAGGAAGTAAAGCTATCCGGGGAATAACAGTGGTGAGCCGTTAGTAGGGTCAGTTCTTCAGAGTTCCCAGAAGGGACAGGCAAGTGTAACAAAGATGATATGGAATATTGAACGAGGATGCT